CGTGACTGGTTTTTACACTTTATTGCACTGGTTAAGACATCTGCAGAGTTCCCAGTGTTGTTTTACTTGATGGACACCATTCACATACACGAAACATGGAAATTAGAATAAGTTTACGAAAAAACGAAAAGTTACACAATTAAATTCCCGTCTTGAGAAAGAGTAGATTCCTACATCTGTCACTTCTGGTTTGCAAGTTGGCTAAAACATATCTTAACAAATTCTTCTAGTGGTCCAGACAATTGTTTGGGGAGAGTATCTAATTCAAAAGATGATTTAGTTTGAATTTTCCGAAGATATAAAAGGTGAACTATGGGTGTAGTGCATCATGTGCGAAATGTCGGCCCATTATTATTGCGCAGACTGTGACAAAGACAGTTACGTTTGTGATTTTTGTCAACATTTATAGGTATGTATTATCAGTTTACAAACTCCATACCTTTAATTTTTGTTGACCTTGGTATGAAGCTATATCTTTTTGATGATAATGTGGATCAACTTTCAGGTGGTCTACATTACTCTTACTTTTTCCAACGAGCGAAAATTACACTGTTTCAGATTTTTGTGTTTCTTTTTAAAACTGTTTTCAGGATGTTAATTTCCTTAATAAATGTAATCAATGATTAATAACACAACGAGTTGATGTTTAATTTTTTTCGGCCCACAAAAAACTTAAAAAAATTACGTAGGAAAAACAAAATGGGGTTCCATGTCACCTTCACTACATTTGTTAATTTTGGTAGAATTTCAATTTGCACTTTATTACATATTTTACTGCGGATCTCGTGTTAATTTAAATTATTCAATTTAAAATAATTACATCAGTCACTTCACGTTCCATTTAATCAAATTGCGGAAACCCAATTATACACTCAGTCTCAGAAAGTTGGAACCGTGTGGAAAAATTATTTATTATTCATTTTGGGGAAAAATATTCCTGCATTATCTAAGTATAATGAGGTTTTTTTTGTCTCTGAATGTCGCTTAGAGATTTGACCCTGAATTTCGCTGAAAAGTAAATAAGTTTAAAAAAACGCAAATCAAGGAAGCTAAACAAAGCGGTATGGATGAAAATTGAAAAGAAATAGAAGAATTTAATATGAAACACGACACACATAACCTACATAAGAAACTAAAAGCAATTACGGGTAATACACGAAAGAGAATACCACAAGTCATAAGAAACTTCAATGGAGATCTCCAATTATCAGAAGAAGAAAAACAACAAACTTGGGAGGAATACATCAATAACTTATTTACAGATAGGGAGGAAATAAGTGAAACATTACCAAATGATGAAAATATACAAATTCTAATATCAAAGGTGTAACAGGCAATTAAAAACTCAAAAAGTGGTAAAGCGCTAGGATCTGATGAAGTTACGGTATATATACTAAAAATCCTGAATGACGAAAATGTTGAGTGTCTATGTTTAAATTCAAATATGGTTTTGTAAACTAATCAATACATTTGCCCTCCCTGTATTCCTACGATCCCTATAGTACCGCTTGATCTCGGGGAATGCATCTCGCTAAGACAGAAGAGCGTAAGTTGTTAATTAAACCTTATTATTAAATTACTTATGCATTAATTATATATTACTTAAACAATTAAATTAAACGATAAATAATAAATTTTCAGACGATACAGCAATCATAGCAGAAAATGTACAAATTTTTATAGAAATCATTAACAGAGAAAGCAAAAAGATGGGACCAACAATCTTCTTCTCGTGCCACTCCTAGCGGAGATTGGAAATCATCATGGCCACTGCGACTTTGTTAGCAGCGCGCCTGAAAAGTTCAATCGAACTACACCCGAACCATTCACGTAGATTACGAAGCCACGATATTTTTCTTCTTCCCACACTTCTTTAACCCTTAATTTTGCCTTGCATGGTGTTTCTTAAAAGTTCGTACTTTTCACCTCTCACAATGTGCCCCAAGTATTCCATCTTTCTAGTTTTTATCTCATTTAGAATTTCGCATCTTTTGTCTAAAGTTTGGAGTACTTGCGTGTTAGTGACGCGGTCCATCCATGATATTCTGAGACCAACAATGAATATAGATAAAACCAAATACATAGTGATCTCGAAAACCCCTGTTGACAACATGCATCTGACATTGGAAGGTAAACCGATAGAGAGGGTCGACAAGTATAAATACCTTCGAGCAAGTATAAACTCACAGTTAGATCAAGATGAGGAAATAAAGGTCAGAATTGAAATAGCTCGAAAAGGATTTATAAAATACAAGTCAATGTTTACTGAGTATGGTTATCGGATTGAGGTTCGTCTAATGTTATGTATGGTCACAACTGCTATATGGGGTAAAAGCTTGGACTCTGACAGAGTAATCCTTAAAAAACTTGGAAGAATTCGAAATCTGGCTATATAGGAGTATTCTACGAAAAACTACGAAAAATTTGTAGAGGTACTCAAAAATGTGTCTAGAAAAACTATCCCTAGAGGATGTAGACAACAATTTGTTCTTGGGATGTCCAGTGAGTCCAAAGAACTAATAAGAACATACGAAACCCTCTATTCCACTGACCCTTTTCTGCGGAGCAGTACTACTCCAACAGCTAAGTCAAGCTAGACAGGAAAAGTGGATTGAGACCCTGGAAAAAATGGACATGACACATAGTAGCAGAACAGCATGGAACCTTGTAAAAAAACTCAGCGGTGATACAAAAGAACATAAACCACCTTGCAAGGTTACAGCAAACCAAGTAGCTGCTCAACTCCTTACGAATGGAAGAACTACTAACCGATATAAGGATCCAAACACTAGGAGAAGATTGGATTCGGATACAAACCACTTAGGAACTCCTTTTACACTAAAAGAACTCCACTACGGTCTGAACAGGTTAAAAAACGGGAAAGCTGCAGGTGGGGATGATATATACAGTGAACAAATAAAACATTTAGATCAAGAAGCAAAAAACTGGATCTTGCAATTTTATAACACGTGCTGCAAAACCTGCAAAATTCCAAAATCGTGGAGGAAATCTAAAGTAATAGCCTTGTTAAAACCAGGAGAGGACCCAGAAACCCCAGTAGCTACAGACCTATTTCGCTGTTGTGTCACTTTTTTAAACTATACGAGAAACTGATACCTGCCAGAATAGAAAAAAATGTCGACAAGCACCTCATCCCACAACAAGGAGGATTCAGACCTGGCAAATCTTGTACTGGTCAAGTCCTCGCATTAACAGAACACATTGAAGAGGGCTTTGAAGAAAAACTTATAACAGGGGCTGCTTTTGTAGATCTGACAGCAGCCTATGACACAGTAAGGCACAAATCATTGCTTCAAATTATACAAGTAAGTAGGTGGAGAGTTCAAAAAACGGCCTCCCACAGGGAAGTGTTTTAGCACCAATGCTCTTCAATATATACACAAACGACCAACCTACTCCGACCGAAACCAAGTACTTCCTGTATGCTGACGATCTTGCAATATGTGCTCAAGTCACTATCTTCATTATCTTCAATAGCGAAGAAGAAGTGAAGGAGAAACTCGAAACTGCCTTAAAAACAATGATAGCGTCCTACACGCAGAATTCTCTGAGACCCAATCCCTCTAAAACCCAAGTCTGAGCGTTAAACCTTCGCGCAAAGGAAGCCAAGCGAAAACTCCAAATTGTGTGGAATGGTAAAGCATTAGAACACACAAACCAACCTATATATCTTGGAGTAACTCTGGACCAGTCCCTCACCTACAGATAACATTGCATAAAAACGATAGGGAAAGTAACAACTAGGAACAGCATACTCAGAAATCTAACGGGAAGTAAATGGGGCGCACGTCCTAGCGTTTTAAGAACAACGGCACAGGCACCGTGTTTCTCCTCTGCTGAATATGCGTGCCCCGTTTGGAGCATATCTGCCCACATCAAACAAGTTGATACTGCGCTAAATGAGACATGCAGGATAGTAACGGGGTGCATAAAACCAACGCCACTTTCAAATTTATATAGAGCAGCGGTTTTTGCAGAACCCTCAACACGCAGAGGCGTTGCAGAGCACATAGAGAAAATTAAACAGATATTGGACGAGCGGCATGCCCTATACAAAGCTCGAACACCACGAAAGCGACTAAAATCTAGGAAAAGCTTCCTTGGAACAATGCAACCGGCTGAGTATTTTCCACTTCCCGAGGTTCAATGGACCGGCCAGACCCTAGACTTTAAAACGTGGAAAACTATGAATAGGATAAGAACGGGGGTCGCTACAGTAAAAGCAAACATGGCAAAATGGGGAAAAATAGACCAAGATGATGTGATGTGTGACTGTGGAGAAACACCGAATATGGAACATGTAGGAACTGTCCTCATCGATGTACCCTTGAAGATTTGTGGCTCGCCAACAAAGATGGAACCTACGAAGCCCGATACGTAGTAGTTTCTTCACAAAAAAAATTAAAGATAAAACTTTATTTTTATAAAAAGTAGAAAAGATAAAACATTGATGTTGTTATCATAGCATGTTTTAAAGATAATCATTCTGTTGCAAAAAAAATAAAGTTCAAGAAATTATTCCTTCTGGGTGTAACACTTCTAATGTCACTGAGTATATATACCGCACACCGCGTTTCCGATTAAAATTGACCTTCATCATAATGTAACAAAAATTGTACTGTATATAACTACCTTTAGTCTGATTCAATATTATTCAAGGTAAGGTGTTTCCCAAACATTACAAACTACGCTACTGATAAATAGCAACGTAGACTGTTAACCTTGCCGGATCTCATTCTATTGGTATAACCAATTTTTAAATTTACCAAAACAAACACTCTTTTTGACATTTTGATATAATTTTAATCGCTCTACGTAAATTCCGTGAATAAAATGATCTAATGTATACTAACTTTGAATAGCTTTGTATGTATCTTTAGTTATCGACACTGATAATAGGTACTATCAGTAAAGTTTTACATGACGGGTTTGTGTGTATTTTATTTTAACAGGATTTTGTTTCCTTTCCTCTAGTTAAGATGTCTTCTAGTGATGAAAGTAAATCTACACCGGAAGAGAAGTCGGATCAAAATAAATACTATAAGAGTGTATTTCGCAAGGTAAGTACCTACTTCTTGTGTTAATTATAATTCGTAACAGTTATTATTGTTTCGGCATTGAGTAATGAGTCATGTAACTGTAACAGAACCAGAATTCCCGTTTTGAATAATATCAGACATCAGCTGTTTTCAACAATTTGGTTTTTAGCAATATTTTTATTCTTTAAATATTAGGGCTAAACAATTGAATGTTTTTAATTGAATATAAATCGTTAATTAAAAATAACTATGTTTTAATAAGTTTAAATTACATAAATTATTATAATTTGAAAACTTGTTCATTCTACACATTTTTTCAATAATACAAAAACGTATGTTCCAAAATTATTTTATTTTGGCATTTGTACTTTTTAAAATCTAATTACTGCGAAATTTACATTTTTGGAAATTTTAAGTACTTTATTTTGATATTTCGGTGTTCACATCGGAAGTCGTTTTTAAAATATAATTGTTAAAAAGTTAAATAAATGAAATAATAGTCTTTTCAATTACTCTCTCTCTCTCTTCAATCCTGACCCCCCAGGGGAGTGTAGTGGTCAACGTGATGTCGTGTATTGTCCGTCTCCAGAGATCTCTGTCTCTGGTCATTTCTTTTAATTCATGCATAGGTCTTTGGCATATTCCTGTAATTTGGTCTATCCATCTTGTTGGGGATCTTCCTCGTGATCTGCGACCTTCTACCTTTCCTTGTATTATGAGTCTTTCCATGTTTTCTGTGTTTGCTCTCATAACATGCCCAAAATATTTTAATTGTTGGAGATGGACTTTACTAGAGAGTCGTTGGCTAACTTTGAGCTCTCTTAAAATTGAATTATTTGTTCTACGGTCGGTCCAAGGAATTCGTAACATTCGTCTCCAACAGAACATTTCAGTGGCGTCTATCTTTTTTCTCTCCGATTGTCTCAGAGTCCAAGATTCACATCCGTAGGTCAGTATTGGGAATATTAAGCAGTTGATCAACCTCATCTTTATCGCTCTTGAAATTTGACAGTCCTTCCATATTTTGGTCATTTTTGCTGTGGCAACTTTTGTTAGATCACATCTACGTTTAATCTCTTCTTGTAATGACCCTGTGTTTGTGATTAATGATCCCAAATATAAGTATTAGCTCACAACCTCGAACCAGTCAATTGTGGTTATGTGTGGATGATTGTTGTGTGGTCTATCCACTTTCATGATCTTTGTCTTTAATATGTTTAATTGCGGACCAAATATTTGACTTTCGTTTTCGATCAGTCATATAAGTTCCATCAGCTCTGCTTGACTATTTGCAAGAAGGGCTGTGTCATCTGCGAAACGTAGCTTGTTTAGTTTATGACCATTTATTGAGATGCCCTCTTCCCATCCTTCAAGTGCTCTTCGCACAATATACTCCCCATATATGTTGAATAATTGTGGAGATAGTATACATCCTTGTCTGACACCCCGTTCTGGATGAAACTCGTTCGAAAGTGTGTCAAGTACTTTAACTGATCCAGTAGTGTGTTCATATAGTTCAATTATAAGCGTAATTAGATGTTGTGGTACGTCTACTTCTTTTAGTATTCGCCATAAGTGTCTCCACTTGACCCTGTCGAACGCTTTACGGTAATCTATAAAACAGATGTATAGTGGAATGTTGAATTCCCTAGATTTCTCGATTATCTGTCTTATATTCAGCAGGTGTTCTCGAGTGCCTCTACCTTTGGTAAATCCAATTTGCTCTTGTGGAATTTCTCTTTGGAGGAATGTTTTCAGTCTCTCATTGATTATATGTAGCATTATCTTGCTGGCATGGGATATAAGAGTGATAGTTCTATAATTGTCGCATTTATTGAAGCTGCCTTTTTTATGTATGGTCGTTATTGTAGATTTTGTCCAGTCTTCATGCCATTTTGGAATGCCATATTTGGTTACAGAGTAGATGAAGTAACTTTACGCCGGTTTCTTCTGTGCCTTTGAGCATTTCTGCTGTTATCATATCTGGACCTGGTGCTTTGTTATATTTGAGCTTTTTGATAGCCTGTCTTACTTCATTTTCGAGTATATCAGGTTCTTCTTCCACCTCGTCAGAGATTTGGCTAACAAGCTCTTGGCGTTGATCATCTTTATATAGGTCCCTGCAATACGATCTCCATGTCTCTGCTATGTCTTCTCTGTTTGTTCTCAGGGTTCCACTGTTATCTTCAATGGCCCAAGTTCTGGCTCTGAAGTCTCTTGTCAGGTAGCGTATTTTTCTAAATACTACTATACTTTCTACTATAATTTAATTACTATTTAACTGTTTTTTTTAACTATTTTCAATTTCCACTTTGGAAATCGTTCTCAAAATACAAACAGTTTACTGTTTCTGTATCTGTTTCTCGGATAACGGTTCGTATAAAATTTTCCTTCACACATTTCTTTTATTGATCCCCTATTTTGCCTTGAATTAGGAATCTTCAGATGCCATATTTTTCTTAATGCATTGATCTGAATGGACCAAAAATATTGAAAAGTGATGTGATAAAAACTATAAATCAAACGAAAGATAAGAAAGCAACAGGATGCGATGAAATACCAGTCGAATTTTTAAAAGTTTTTAACGAGAACAACCTGAATGTAGTATTGGAACTGTTTAATAAGATATACGATACTGGTCAAATTCCATCGGACTGGTTGAAATCTACATTTGTGCCCCTTAACAAGAAATCGAATTTTAAGACGTGTAATGAATATCGCCTTATAAGTTCACACCCTTAAATTATTCTTGCGTATTATCCATTCCAAAATATGAGCAAAATTAGAACACAGCATAAGTAAAACACAATTCGGTTTTAGATGCGGTTTTGGAATTCGAGAGCCCCTCTTTGCAATACAAGTCTTGATTCAAAAATGCCTTGATCAACAGAATTACGCCTGTTTTATCGACTATGAGAAAGCATTTGATAATATCAAAAATGACAAACTCATAGAACTATTACATCTTACAGGACTTGACACTAAGGACATCTAGATTATAAAAAAATCTATATTGGAATTAAACAGCCCACATGAAGAATGAACATATGGTGAGTGAAAACGTAACCATTTCGAGAGGGGTTAGACAGGGCTGTATTCTTTCGCCACTGCTTTTCAACCTGTACACGGAACAAACAGTACACCGATTTAAATATCTGGAATATACAGCAAATGATAAGTGGAACCCAGACGTAGAGATTAAGATCCGAAGTGAAATAGCAAGATCCAAATTCATTAAAATGAGAAAGCTCTTAAAGAACCGCAACCTAAGTGTTAACCTCCGATGGCGCGCCAAGAAATGCTATGTACTTTCTACGCTACTTTACGGAGTAGAAGGGTGGATGTTAACAGCAGCAACTATAAAGAAGTTAACAGCTCTAAAAATGTGGCTGTACTGAGAATACCTTGGACAGACAGAGCGACCAACATAGAGGTATTAAGACGAATCTGTAAAGAGGTGGAATTGTTAACAACTGTTAAAAGAAGGAAAGCGTCATACCTGGGCCATGTGTTCCGTAATGATAAGTACAGTCTGCTACAGCTTATCGCGGAAGGCAAGATTGAAGGTAGAAGGTTTGGACAAAAAGAAGAAATCCTGGCTGAGAAACTTGAGGAAATGGTTTCAAATACCAGAAGCTGCGAACATAATACATGCGGCACAAAACAGAGAAACCTATCGTTTGATGGTCGCCAACCTTCAGTAGAAGACGAACATAAAGAAGAAGATTGTATCTCCGAGATATTGCATTTTACCTTCTTTTATTGGCCTTTCAACTTATTTTTCTTTCTACATTATTCTTAATCATTCGCAACGTGATCCTCCCATGAGGATTTCGATTTATCTCTCTTTGATAATATAGCCAACATTAGAATCAGTAGAACACATTTAAATTGTTTTTATAGTTTATTTCGGTACTATATAACTAAATGTTATATAGAACGTGTTTCTAATGTTGTTTTTTATTTTACCATCTCATATACATTGATTTTATCTTATTTTGTGGTTATTTGCATTGCAAATTTATAAGATTTTATTTTTTAGCGGTTTGATATATTTCAATAAATACGGTACAGACGTTGAGTTTGTTTAAATTAACACACGTTTAAAATTGATTAAACTCTTATCACCTTATCAGTACGTATGTGTGGTCCCCTGTTTGGGTTTATGTGAGTCAGCTAGAATTTATTTTTTAAATCTAATTTATATACAGTGGAACCTCGATTATCCGTCTCTCTATTAACCGTCACCTCTGTTAACCGTCAGGGTCCATACATACGTTATATTGACAACATAAGTAAAAATTTAGTCATCAATTCATTTTGTTGGAGCATTGCGATAAGCCAAATGAAATTCGTTGAAATGTACACGTGAAGTTATGCCAACACCGCGTCTTTTATGTTAATAATTATTGTTCTTATTCAGGGCTCTGGATTAAATTTTAATTTAAATAGGTTATGCTAAATGATGCCATGCTTTTAAAGTTTCAATTTTAGAATCGCAAGCCGAAAATAAAAACGCAGAGCACAATAATTATTACAGTCAATTCAAAATCTTTGTGTCAACATAATTCAGTTTGATTAAAATTCGAATATTGATTGTGTCACTTAGTATTTGTATTTCGTTAAAAAAAAAAGAAACGAAGGTGTTCCTTTGTCTGGACCAATTGTGGCCAAAAAAGCGTTGTTTCTCAACATGAGAAACAATTGAAGGATGAAGGATCGCCATTGAATGGCGATCCTTCATTCAAAGGAAGTAGCGTTTGGTTGGAAAAGTTTAAAAATCGCCACGGTATACGGGAACTGAAAATTGAAGGTGAAAAATTGAGCGCCGCAAGTATGGAAGTCGTTGACGAATATAAAAGAAAGGTTGAAGATATGATCGATGAATATGGTTTGACACGCGATCAAGTATTCAATGCAGATGAAACTGGTTTAAACTACAAAGCATTGCCAACGAAAACACTCGCTGCACTGTCTGAGCCAAGTACCAAGATTTAAACCGCAAAAGCGACGAATCACAG